TTCTTCTTTGAGAAGTTAGCTTCCTTGTTTGAGGTGGGACTAGATTGAGGACTTCAGTGTTCAGGGAATCATATTTCTGAGGTACGATTCTGGACGGAATCACAGTTCCCTTAGGTTGGTTGGTGAACAGAATTTGAGAGACAATGCTTTTTTAGGTGGTTAGAAATGTCTGCACACGCATACATACTTACATACATGTATGTATATAAAATTACAACAATTCATTTTTTTCCCAGCTGTGGCTCTCAGCATAAGAATCTTTATTTCTTTACCTAAGTGTCTGCTAATGATTGTTTTTAACATAAATCCCAGCTGCCTTTCATTGAAAGAAAAAAAGAAACATCCAAACCCCAAATCTTCCCTCTATCAGCGAGCTAGGATAGTTTTGGCATCAAATAGAAATACTGATTGGAGCTGGGATTGAAAGCATGCTGCAGGTGATGGCCCTGTGACCAAGCACAGCCAGAGGAGTCCTCCAGCCATGGTTGTGCTTCGGGACAGGCACAGTTGGTGCTGGGGTTTCCATTTGGTGGTGGTTTGCGTTTGCTGCAGCTGCTGGCATCACCAGAGCTGTGCCATAAAGCTCCCATCTGCTGTAATACTTATTTGTGCCGAAACCCGTTGCTGCGGTGTATGGATGTATTCTCAGTTTAACAAAGTGCTGCCAGCAGCAGTGTTCTGAGCTGAATTCCTGCAACCTCTGGCTCTTCATCTGCGGCCTGAGCTGTGCAGGGAGTTATGTATGTGTTTGTGTTTAAGGACAGTTGCTGTGCAGAGCAGTGGCACTTGCAGTTTAACACTGTGCAGCTGGAGCCAGCAGCTGCTTAGCAGGAGGGGCTGTGCAGCCACTCCTATGGTGCCCTTCAGCTGAAGCTCTGACCTGCATGGACCCTCTGCTTTGGTGCTGGTTTGTTCTGGTTGCAGCCCTCGCACCACTTTTCAGCTTCATTGTTACTGCAGGAAGCGTAAAAGAGGAAAACTGGATTCATCTGTATATTTTTGATAGTAAAGCTCATGGATGGTCAGCAGCATAGCAATTAGATCAGTACATGGGAAAGGCATTACAACAAAGGTGTGATGGTGGAAGGACCAGCATGATAGAAAAGTGCTATAAGGAAAGGGAAGAAGATTGCTCACCCATATCAAAAGATTGTAAGATCACAGGGGAAAGCTCCACAGAGGGTGGATCTCCATAAAGAGACCCTTCCCCAGTGGCAGTCAGCCCTTCAGTGGGGTCCAAGAGAGGTGCAGCCAGGCTCCACCCCTTCTGGTCCCACAGCTGAATTGCTTTCACCTGAGCTCCCAGGGCTGACCTGGTCCTTTCCCCAGGTGATCAATCAGTGCTTCAGGCCAGGACTCAGCAGTTCCCATGCAAGCAGTTATTCAGACTTTTTAATCTGTGCTTTCCTTCTGGTGAGGCTGCAGCAGGCAGGGAGGGTGGGACTGAGTGAGGCTGCTGGTGAGGGCAGTGAGTGCTGCCAGCCCCTTTGTGTGCAGGGGGAGCACACAGCTTTGGGAAGGCTCCACATTGTTCGTTGCCTGGAAATGGTTGTGTTTAGCACACTTTCAGAGCAGGAGGAGGTATGTGTGTTCCTTTGGCTCCTCTCCTGTATCACTGGGTCAGTGTGCTATTTTAAGATGAGATTTTAAAGCTATACAGTCTTCACAGGTCTGTGAATCCCTGAGATAGAAGCTTTCCTAGCAGGTGGATAACATCACCAATACAGGGCTGTGGCAGCATGGCAGGCTTTCTCCCATCACACTGCTTGCTGCAGGGCAGCCCAGTTCCTGGCCCCTCTCCTCTGTGCTCCAGGCCTTAGCTTGATGTGCTCACTCATTTGGGTGTGTAGAAATCAAGGGTGTCTTCACTGCTGTGGGCAGTAAGCTTCACAAAAAGATTACAGAACCACAGAGTTGTAGGGGTTGGACAGCACCAAAAGCATTGTGAAGCTACATTTTAATCCCTGTGCCAGAAATACAGGTTGTTATAACTTCATAAAATTAACCAATAATAGTAACTTGAAATAAATAATTGACAGGGCAGATCACAGCTCATTTCCATGTACAGAGTGGGCTTGATGGTGGGGGATGCTTTGGCTTCTGGGTAGTAGTTTTGATATAAGGTAATTGGTTTTCTAACTCTCCTATGGCCTGCCTGGTTAGTAGCTCATGGCCAATGACAGTTTTAATCCAGCACAGCCTAATTCTGATGTAACCAGGTAATAAGACAGCACTGGTAAAAATGTAAGTCCAACTTGCTTATTATCTTTGTTTAGGGGTGAAGAGAGAGCATTGATGTTAGCACCTTTACTTGGTTGATTTGTTCAGTGCACTTGTGCTGGGATCGATGGGAACTTGGTGCTGGTAAGGGAGGCATTGCTGAGTCCTGCAGCATAACACGTTGTGCTGACGCTGCTGTGCTCAGCTGGCTTAGCCCAGGCTTTGAAGGAAGCCGTGTGTGTCAGGTAGAGATCAAAGCAGTGCCAGCTAAGAGGCAGAGTTAGCTTAAGAAAACTGCCTGAGCAAATCCTGGCATGTTGTTCCACAGGATGATGGATGGGTTACTAATGATGTGCTTAGAGCGAAGAACCTTAACACAAGGCTCCAAAACTGCAAAGGGAAACTTGCAATAGGGTTGGGGCAGCCCTGGTGCTGCTGTGTACTGCAGCGTTTCTCCTTCCCGAGATGGAAGAGGGAACAAACAGGAAATTAATGACATCTGTATTGCTGAGTCTGGCACACAGCCTTTAGGAGAGGAAGAGTTTCAGGGTGTTTTGGATGGGATATTTCTCTGAAACAGCACAGGGCAGGAAATCAGTTTCTCTGTTAGGATGCTGTTTGACTTTCACTTCAGAGGAACTGACTTTAAGCAGGATAGTTCTGGAAATAAATGCTTTATTAGGTCCTCCTGCTAGTAAGAAAAAACAGTCATAGGGCAGAGTGCAGCTAATTTGTAGCTGGTTAAATTGGCACTGAGTCAGTCAGTACTGATCCTCACAACAGAATCTGTCTGAAAATGTTAAGTAAAAGTGATTTGGGACGTGCCTGTTTTGTTGGTTGCACTGTGATGGGAAGGTGACTTTTGAGTCCAGCTGCAGCGTGTGATTTCCAGTTGTAATGTTTCTTTCCGTGCATTTTTCTGTCACTTTTTTTCCTCTTTTTTTTTTTTTTTTTTTTTTTTTTTTTAAGGTATCTCCTACTAAGCAGGATTTTTGCTGATACCTAGAATGGCTGTGACTGTTGGTGTCATTGGTGAAGCACGAGGGAAGCTTTACAAGCATCAGTTCCAGCACAGCACGATCAAACACTTGGTCAGCATGCCATAACATGGAGCAGGGAGAAGGGCTCTTTCTTTGAGCTGGCAGGGCACCGAGGAGTTCTCCCAGCCATCAGTGGGTCTGAGAGGAGTGGAAATGAATTCCAGTCCTTTGCAGCTGTGGTCAACAGCTCAGAGCTGCCTGCTGCGGTTCTGCTGGCTGGCAGAGCTCTCTGCAGCTGGGCATGCTGTGCCAGCACTGCTGTCTGTGCAAGAGCTCGTAGGTGACACGGTGACAGTCTGAAATACCTCATGCTTTGAAATGAGATGGTTGGAGAATAGGAGTCTGGAGGACTGTGCCTTCCAAAATTGGCAGCTCCATGAATGATGCTGCTGCATCATTCTGGGGGAAAAGGGAGGAGAAAGCAGTAAGCTGTGTTAGATGCACTACGTCTGTTTGTGAGCAGTGTCCTGGTATTCATTAAATGCCATCGGCTGGTTAAAGCTGCAGGTTGTGTGTCAGAGCTGTCAAACTAAGCCAGCTCGAGGCGCTCTGTCTGGCTGTGTGCTGCAGTCTGAGCGTGGCCATCATTAGTCAGACAGCAAAGTATGTTCATTTCTGTGACCCTCTGTTAACACACCTGCATAATTAACTTCTCTTTGTCTTCCTTTCTAGTCCTTACATCTGTAAAACAAGCTGTGCAGAGCACTGGGGCACCGAAATGAGATGCCTCAGGGTGACAGCTTTGAAAAGGCAGTGGTTAGTAATGAGAAAATAGGATAATGGGCCAAAACAAAACTAGACTTCCCAGTGCTCTAGCTTGATACAAGGCTGTGTGTTTCAAGTATTTGTGTTACCTTGCTGTGCTCCATGTCAGTTTTTTAGTTAACTGGTTTATCCTGGTAGGTTACCTGGTTGTAACACTTGAAGGCAGGAAAAATACCAGAGGGATTTCCAGTAACTTCTAGATGGTTTTTTTGCATTGCACTGATGTCAGATGGTTCTAATGACCTGCAGTAGCTCTAATACCAATTCATTTGAGTCCTTATGGTCAAAATTTTTCTAATGAGCATTGTTGAAATGAAGGCATTTAGTTTTTGATAAAATTACAAGGGCAAGAAGGAGTGAAAAGCTCTCAGAGGTCTGAGGGGCTCCGATACGGAATAGAGGACGAGCAGCAGGGAAGGAGAGTTTGGTTTGTTTCCTCTTTCTCTGTTTCCATCCTGTGTTTGGGGTTAATGGTAGACTGAAGCAGGCGAGACAAGATACAAGACATGAGACAAGATGCAAGACAAGCTGTCATATACAGCTCAGCTCTCTTTGTGATTTGTTTAGCAGTTCATGCTTTATTTACTTGGACTTATTCTGGTATTGTACTTCCCTTATTACAGGAGGAAATGGTGATTTAATGCTGTGCTTGAAGTTGTTCCATTTCTTTTTCAACCTCGTTTCTGGAAATTCCCGTCCAACAGCGCTGTGTGGGCCTTGGTGGTTTTGGCAGCAGCTGGGAGGTGGTTCTGGGGAGCTGTGCCAGCTGACACCCACCGCCCCGACAGCATCAGTGAAAGGCTTCCCACGCTGCTCTGCCAGAAGGAGGGATGACCTCACCCTTTCACAAACTATTCAAATTGTCATTAGGTTATAAAAGCCACGGGTTGTGTCAGTTGAAGTGTAAAATGGAAGGAAGTCTGCTATTTTATTTTTTTTTTTGTAAAATGAGTGATTTCTTTCCTTTTTCCACAGGTTCTTCAAAGAGCTTGAAGCCAGACATCAGAACAACATCTTCATTGACGATATTAGTGATATTGTGGAAAAGCATTCTTCTTCAACATTTGATCCTTATGTGAAGTACTGCACTAATGAAGTCTATCAGCAGCGAACGCTTCAGAAATTGCTGTAAGAGCTAATTTTAAAATATGATTGCAACATCACTCCCTTTATAGTAGGAGGCAAAGGCTGTGGTGCTTGGTGCAAGGCCTGGGGCTCACAGCACGTCCTTACATGCTTGGTGTTCCTTCATGCAGAAGTGCCTTTGAAGTCACTGAGGGTGGAAATGTGCCAGGCTGCATCGTGCAGTCCTGTTTGTGGCTGTGTGTCACATTGCCTTTTTGCTGATAAATACAGGTTTGTAAATTTACCAAAGCTGTGCTTTGCTTCTCTGTTACCTATGAGTCTGTTTGCACTCGTGTTCGCCTGTGGGAGAAAATGAGCTCTCTAAATGTCAGCCCTGGTCATGCATATCTAAGTAAATAACGCTGAAGGCTGTGATACAAATCTTCAAACTGCATTTCCCCTACTTCTGAAATCTGCCAACTTTCACAGTTCTCGGGTAAAACACTCTGATAAGTTCCCCTTCCTTTTTCCCACCAGAGCTACAAATCCAGCATTTAAAGAGGTGTTGTCACGCATTGAGTCCCATGAAGACTGCAGGAATTTACCGATGATCTCCTTCCTCATTCTCCCTATGCAGAGAGTTACTCGTCTTCCATTGCTGATGGATGTGAGAATGTTGTTTTTCTTTTTTTCCATTATGTGTTCTTATAATGTTAGCACTCCTTTATGTTCGATTCCTGGTTGATCCCATTGCTGGTAGAGGTACAGGGCTGTAAGCACCGACTGGTCTGCTTAGCATGAAGTGCAGTAGCATTTGTTTAGTTATGCAGTCAAAAATTAAATATTTAGAAGTCAAATCAAAAAGATTCTATAGTAGAATTGATTCTGAAACCAGGGAGGAATAACCTGGCACAGAAGCTACCCAGGCTGTTAGGATTAAAATCAATTAATTAGTGCCATTTCATTTATCTGTAAATCCATGTGTTCTCTCACCTCATTTATCTGCAAGTTCACAGCTGGTACTTCAGCTCTTTGATTCCCATTAATGTGTATGTAAATTTCTGTATTTGTTACAGTCTGTGCTCTTTAGTTCTCTGAAGTAATGGATGTTTTCTTTCAGACTATTTGTCAGAAAACTCCTAAAGATTCACCAAAATATGAGAACTGCAAGCAAGCCCTGAAGGAAGTGAGCAAGGTATGTCCTGTAGTGCAGAAAAAGTGTGTGCTTAAACCTTCTTTCTTCTTTTATTGCACATTTAAGGGTGTCTGCTGCTGTCAGTTGTTTGCCAAGAATCAAAGGTAGAAGAGTGCAAGTCCATTTCCATGCATATTGGTTGGAGATTTCGACAGCACTTACATAACATATTCCAGTTTGTTTTATGTGAAACTAAGCAAGCTGATTATTATTTTTTTTTAATTAGTGAAAAATTCAATTCATCTGTTTAAAATACATGTATACGTATAGGGACAGATAGGCATATTCTGGAAATAGAAGACTTTCAAGCAGAGCATTGTGGTATGAGAAGAAAATTAAGAATTTCAGGGCTATTTTTTGCCTGCAAGATCTCAGTTTCAGAAACCATAGTGCAGACTGTTAATAAATGTGATTTTGGACGTTATTTAAAAATAAAACTAATTTTTAAAAATCTTTCTCTACCTTTCAGGGCTACATATTGCTTTGGGCGTTGAACATTCCTGTGTAAGGGAGAGCAGTGAAGGATATAAAAGCTCTAAATTGTCTTAATTAAAATCAGTCCTTTCTCTTGGCTAAATTATTGTTTTTCTCTTACTTAGGAAAATATCCTAAACTCAGGAGCACTGTACTGTTACCAACACAATTATTTTTTCCAAAGGAGCAGTAAATGATTTGTAAAGTGATTTTTAAAAGGAGAAAAGGCTTATTAACTGAAGGAAATCCTGCATGATATTTATGCAGTTAAAGGGAATGTGATTGGATGCCCTTCTGACTGCACCTGTGAGCATGCATTGCCTCTTCCCTGGTGTGCAGGCATCAGTAAGGCTATGGTGTGTGCTTTGAGATTGTGTCCTAAATGTCAGCTGCAATGAAACAGTCCCTGGGGTAGTTTCATAGAATCATAGAAAGGCCAAGGTTGAAAAGGACCTTAAAGATCATCTAGTTTCAGTGCCCCTGCTGTGGGCAGGGTTGCCCCTAGAGCAGTTTGCCTGAGTTTAACGAGATGGCACTGCAGTATTTGTATTGGGACTTTCTTCTGTGAAGGAGTTGCATGTGTGTGATAGCCATGTCGGTGTGCAGCACGGATTGTCAGGCTGGAAGGATGGGTTTTGTGGGGCTGGGCGCTCATTTAGATCAGTGAGTATAACCCTTTTCTGGCTGTAGCTTTGTACCACGAGGGCTGTACTGAAGAAGAAATAGTAATTCTAGCATCGTGGAATGCTGTGGGTTGAGAGGGGCCTCAGGAGCTCGTCCAGTCCAGTCCCAGAGCAGAACCAGCTCTCAGCTCTGACCAGGTCACTCTGTGGTGCATTCAGTCTGATCTTGAAAGCATTGTGATCATCACTGAATGTGAAAATGTCAGATCCTTTGTAAATGCTTCCACAGAAGTGTGTTGTATCAAGGACCAGGAGTTTCTGGTATTACAGATTGTGAGGACATGAAATGTGCTCAGCAAATGTCTTGTTTTTCAGTTGGTGCGTTTATGCAATGAAGGTGCTCGAAAAATGGAAAGGACAGAAATGATGTACACAATTAACTCCCAGCTGGAATTTAAAATCAAGGTATGGTTAAATCAAGGAACCAAAATCATTTAGCATAGGAGGAGCTTTGACTGCATGTTAAATTTTGGTAGCTTCATTACCAGCACAAAGGAAATTAGAGCAGGTTGAATCCTGATGTGACTTCTCAGTTAGTGGGAAGACAAATTCATATTTTAAGGTAGCTGAAGCTCTGGAAACTTGAGTAACTGAGGACTGCTGCACCTTTAGCAAGGTCTGTTAAGCTCCGAGGTGAGGCTTTTTAGGGAAATAGAGTGTAAGAACTTTTTTTTTAAGAATAAATTAGCATTAATTACTGAAGAATGTATGCCCAGATTTTGGTCTACCTCTGTGGATGAAAGCCTGTCCCTGGTGGAGTACCAGTGTGACATCTACACTGTTTTATGTAGTTTATAAAGATGTGCAAGACAGTTTTGTCACAAGTACTGCATGGTGCCATGCTTTGTTCTGCCTGTGTCCTTCTCATCATTGGTTTTCTTGAGGACTGTCAGGTTTTGAGTTAACTTTCTCTCTCTTTTCTCTCATAAAGAAAATCAGAGAAATGCACAGCATAATTTCTGATTTGTATGAGAAGCATCACAGTTCTCTGCTGCAACGGCAGCCATGTCATGGAACCTGTATACCTCATCCATGAATTGACTGATCTGAGAAAAAGAAACATTTCTGGGGGGAGGTATTGCACGGCAAAGCAATTGCGTTTCTCACTTGAGCACATCGTGAGACAGTGTGTGAATGACTTCTGCTGTATTTCCTTACACGTGGATGGGCACTGCCATGAGCTGTGGACAGCTCTGAAATTTTGTGTAGATTTCAGACTTCAGCTGAGAAAAAAAACCATCTTTCTATTAAGAGTGAGTTAGTGTATGTTACCGCAAAAAGGGTTTTTTAATACCTGTTTGATGAAGTGTTACTTGATCTCCACACCAGTTCAGCAGCAGAAAGGGACGCCTATTTGTCTACTGCAGCTGAAATAAAACAACTCATTGGTTGAGTTTTAGCCCCCCAGCACTGCATTTTCTGAGAATGAGAGGTAAAGTTCAGCACCCCATTTCTGTCAGGGCGTGAGTTAATGCTGCAGAGCAGTGTGTGAGCTGCCCTTGTGCCTGCCCTGCTGCTCGCTGATGCACCACGCAGGCGGCTGCTGCGTCTGTACTGACAGCACTGCTGGACCAGGAGATTCCACCCAGTAGGTGCACCAACCAATGGCTGTTAGTCCAACAGAGGATCCTAACACTGTTTGAACATCCAGATTGCAGCAGGGTGAAATCTGTAGCAGAAATAACAACAGTTAGTGGGGTTTTGTTGCACGTACAAAATACTTCTTGAAGTACATTGACTCTTCTTCACATTCGTTGTTAAAGTACCATTTCTGTGATTTATGTCTCATCCCAGTACATAATGAGTATAGTTTTGGGAGAAGGTTGTTGGTTGGTTTTTGTCATGGATTTATGTCTTTAAGTGGTCAGTCTTGTTCTGAATAAATCCTGTCTCCAAAAAGGTATTTCTCAAATTGTCCAAAGTATTTACATACTAAAAACTGAGAATAATATTTATTTAACAAGAATAAAGGAAATGTCTCCTGAGTGACATCACAGCATCTGCTAACACTGGTGGATAATAGTCTCAGGTATTTGGATAATCTAAAATAGAGTTTTAAACAGTTTGACAACTTTGGGTGATTGGCTTCCCATTCCTTCCCAGTTTTCTGATGTGCAGAAGCACCTAACAGATTTTCAGTACCCATTATTTTTCTGTTGGGATCAGGATGTGGATCTGACCTTGCAGGAGCAATAGGCCCTGTGTGGTCCTTGCAGTGTGCATGCTGGGACTGGCAACTCTCCTGATTTCATGACAATAATAGAACTTTATTTTCTTTTTCTGTATTCTTTATGCAAGATTTTTTCCCTCCGTGCCTCTTAAATACAACTACTTAGTGGTTTACACTTCTTCTGTTTGAGCAGGTGCCAGCTGGAATTCTTGCTGGATTGTTTTGGCCAAGTTTCAATACATTTTAAGTTCTGATGGCTTATTTTACACAGAAAGGAGATGATGTACACATCGCACTCTTTTGGTAATTAAGGGAAAATGAATATTAAAGTAAGCACGAGATGCCTCCGGAATACAGTTGACTAGGAAAATCTGATGTACTCATTTGGAATAGAGATTAGAGAGCTTTTTTAGTTCGTGCTCTAGAAATCTTTAAAATAGCTTTTATCTGAAGAACAATCATTTTGATACTATTCTATAAGCATTGTAAATCAGGTAAACTATTTCTGTTCCTGTACAGCGTTTTGTAATTCTTACTATTTTCTTTGCTGTGATTCTAGAGCATTACATGGGAGTACAAGAGAAGCTGGTAAAATCTATATCACTTTTGTATGTGGCTTGTCTGTAGGCTCTGTATTTTTAATGAAGATTCAGATGTGGTTTTTCTTATTTTTTTTTTTTTTTTTGTGCTTAGTGCCAGGAAAGGAATTTTGTGCAAAAACACTTGAGTCCAAGAACCAAACTGCTCTGTCATTTCTGGGCCACATAGCCCAGCCTTTCGATTTTGTGAAGTCCCATAGAGAGAGGTGGTGTAACCTCTGTGATCTGATGTTTCACACTTATTATCATCACAGGGAACTGCTACTACATTTCAGGGAGGGTAAATATGTGAAGCTGTCTGCTTACAAAAATGTACTGAAGCTGCAGAGTTTTGATTCAGCGTAAGACTTTTTTTTTTTTTTTTTTTTTTTAAGTTAAATACTTTTATAAACTTCAGAAATTACTTAGATTACAGTGATGAAATTTGGAAGCTCTTCTGCATTGTCGTATCAGAGTACTGAGCTAAATCGGTCCTTTGCAAGCTGTGTGGTTAATTGAGGTGTTTTTATCACTTTCTCCAAGGACTGTCACTTAATCAAAGTTGGATTGATATTAGCCACAGATGTGAGATGAGCAACAGTGTCAGTTTTTGAACTCAAAATTACAGCGATTTCTAAAGAGATTGTCTGACTCACTAACAGAGATGGAGACTTGGGTAAAAATCTACTTAGGAAATATGGGTTTAAATCAAATCCTGCCTTTTTGAATTGGAGAATATGGAATCATAGAATCACCAAGGTTGGAGAAGATTCCTTACGATCATCCAGTCCAACCACCCGTACGTCCCAGTACTGCCCCTAACCATGTCCCCAAGTACCACGTCTGCCCTTTCCTTAAACACCACCAGGATGGTCACTGCACCACTTCCCAGGCAGCCTGTGCCAGTGCCTGACTGCCCTTTCTAAGAAAAGTACTCACTGAAATACTGGCAGGTTATGACAGGTCACTGCTGTACATCTACAGTACAGCAGAAGTGTTGTTCTGGTGGATGTCTGCATAGAGAACCAAATCCAGGTGAGCAGTCACTGTCTTCTGGATGTGTGAAGATACAAATCAGTCTGTGGCAAGACTAAAAAAGTTGAAGGCTTCTTTAATTTGTAATGATTTGTAATGGTTCCAAGGGAACCAGCTACACTGCTGGGCTTATCGAGGGACAGAAGTAGCATGTCTGCTGGAGAAGCCCTCAGCACTGTGAAGAGCTGAGTGCCATGGGCAGCCCAGCTCCTGCCAGCAGGCAGGGACAGCCAGCCCTGATTGTGTCCTGTCCATGCCCATATGCTCTGTGAGGGAATGAGCTGCTGCCAGCACCAGACAAGCAGTTTTCCTCTTCTTAGGGCATCATTTCCATCCTGAAGCGTGAGTGGTCGGGTGCTCATTTTTATCATGGATGAGCAATTAGGTTGTGAATATGAGGATTTTCAAGTATTTGCAGGGTCTTACTTGTGGATTGCATGGGTGATAAAGATACTTTAGAACTTGTACTCCTAATCTCTGCACTTTGAGTTTATTCAGGTGGGTTTTTTCTGAATATTTAAGACTGTTTCCTGATCTTAAAAAAAAAAA